TTTTTTTGGGGGGGTGGGGGGGGGGGGTTGGCTCGGGCAGTGATTATAAAGGATCCAGCAGATCAGGGCTCTTCTACCATAGAATGTCAATTATTGTTGGTGATGGTAACAGTGGTGGTGGTGGTAGTGGTGGTGGTGGCCCCAAAGGCCTGGTGGAAGAGCTCCGTTTTACAGGCCCTGCAGAACTGTAGAAGGTCCCACAGGGTCCTGATCTCCTCTGGGAGCTCATTCCACCAGACTGTTCACCAGCAGCACCCCCCCTAGAAGAAGCAGCCTAAAGCCTAGAGAGGGTGGGGTTTGAGAAGGAGTGGGACCTCAGACAGGTACAATGCCATAGACACCATCCTCCAAACCAGCCACTTCCTCCTGGGGAACCATTGCTGTCAATTTCCAGCGGAGGGCTGGAGATTGCTCAGAATTACAACTGTTCTTCAGATTGCAGAGATCAGTTCCCCTGGAGAAAACAGTGGACTCTGTCATTATACCCTGCTGAGTTTGCCACAGCCGATTGACGCTGAGTGCCCAAGGCTGGGGCACCCGCCCAGAGCCTCTTTCTAGAGCTTGCTGTATTTATTTCCATAACGGGCCTTATTCCTAGTATCTTATAAGGCTGCATTATTTGAATTGCATCAAAGTGAATTCAAGCAACTTATGAGGGGAACTAGAGGTCTAAAAAGCTGTTTTTATTTTAATATACCTTTGACTAATATTTTATTATTTTATTTTATTAATGAATTTAACTTGTTTGGATGTGTACTTGTTTGTACAGCTCTACCTACAAAAGGATAGAATTAGAGTTAAGGAAGTAAGGCAAAGGACAGCAGCAGGGAAGCTAAACTGTAAGCAAACACAAAGTACTGTGGTGGCCTTAACTACAGTTTCCTTGCTTTTTGGAGCAAAATTTAATTTGTTTCTTGGAAAGAAAAGTCACTGAGTTACATCTGGCTGAGAACCATTATTTTACAAAGATTTTGGACACTAAAATAAGTGTTTTCCGTTCCTGAAACGTACAGTAATATGAGATGAAGCTGGTTACTGAAGCTAGGACAAACCTGAGAATGGGATGGGGGAGGGATGAAAGAAAGGACTTTGTGCGCAAGAGATGGAAAAATCCCCAGTGCTGAAGTAAATGAAGAAGGATCTGCCCATACACAGCTGTGTATATACATATCAGAGCCACTGGACCATTTATATTTTCAAATCTGTCTGACTGCAGCTAAATGCTTCCTGCACCCCACTACTGCTCCTCCCCCTTATCACAGCACCAATATCTCAATTCAAATAATTATGGATTTAAAGATGATCCTACCTTGTATCTTCTTCAGAAACTTGTAGATTGGAATTTTCTCCAATTTCCGAAATAGAAGACTCACTTCTAAAACTTCACATAAGAGTTGCAAGTTTATTAATACAGAAAGGGCTACACTCTTAAGCAGTGTTATAAACAGTAAATCCCACTGAACCCTGTGGGACTCACATTCAAAGAAACACAGTTAGGATCAGGTTATGGGTAGGAGTTATCTGAATCTGATAAACAAAAACACTTCAAAAGCCCTGCATTAAAAAATTCAACAAGACCTAAAAATGTTTGTACTTCTTGTGTTATAGGGAACTGGGGCATCGGTTGATTCTCTGAGATTGCTTCCCAAACGTTGCGGGCCAGGCATGTGCCTGTGATTGCAGAAAGGAACAGAACTGTAAACAGGGCAACACTGGATACAGCTGGCAGCAACTGCTGCAATCCTAGCAGCACTTTTTCAAATGCTATAACCTCAGGAATCTATAGCGCTGTACCATCCCATTCACATTTTCATTTCTCAATGTGCTTCCATGTGCAATCACAGGATAGGGCTGCTTGAATGGATGGGAAAATATCTGTGCAAAGCCACAAAAATCTGATATAACTGAAACATCATATGACAAGTAAAACAAAAAACCTTTATAACATGTATAATGGGCATGTGAGAAAAACGATCAAAGTTGCAGAGATCACCTAAACAGTTTCACTTTCACCAACATTTAATATTTAATCTAAGCCAGAGGCATCTGAATGAACACTAATTTAATAAACTATTGCAGTTATCATTTATATACTACTTTAATGTGTTTGCTCTCCAAAAAAGAAAGCATTAGGTTGGATCCAGCCAGCTTTTCAATGAGTTCACCTAATTCCCCTCCATCTGACAGTCCCCAGCCCACATGGCTTTTGTACATGTAAGCCCTATGACTCTCACCGCAGCCTTTTTGAGTGGTCACATAGGACACCTTTCTTTTCTACCAGCAGAAAAGGTGGTCGGATCCAACCCATTTTTATTTGTTTTATGACCCTACTCTCCTCAGAAAATTTGAACATCCCTTTTAATACAGGGTCTTGTGAGATCTAAGACTGCTTTCTTTCAGATTTACCACAAATATTAATTCTCTTAGATGACTCCCAGACTCTTAGATTACTATTTCTTCTGCAAGGCAGGGATCACTCTATGGAGAGATTGCGGTGGAGAGAACGCTCTAGGTTCAGGTGTGTGACCCATACTTGGCCAGGGTGGGGAGAGCCTTTCCAAACCCACACAAGAGTAATTCCTCTTGAAACAATTTACTCTGACTTCTAGGCATGTGAAATTATTAATAAGCTTGCAGAACTGTGCCACTGGAGCAGTTAAACCAGAGCTGGCAGATAGTAAAAGGGAAGGTCAACAGATACAATTAATTTCAAAAACAAACCAAAAGATAAGCACAACTTATCTCTTACAACCCTGAATTTGCTGAGCTAGCACATATAGACAGTGATTCTTAGCCTATTCTTATAGCGTGCTGTAGGGGGTCGAGTGTTTGACTCGGACCAAGGAAATCTGGGTTCAAATCCCTACTCAGCTTTGCCGCTTGTTGGTGTCCTTAGACCATGCCCTGCCTACCCCTCAGACTAACTTATCTTACAGAGTGACAGCAATGAGAAAATAGGAGAGAGGGACTGTGTATGCTGTCCTGAGCTCTTTGGAGAAGAGACAGGATAAAAATAAATAAAAGTGCCAGATTCAATTTCCTCTAAGATGTGATTTCTGACCACTCAAACTTCTGTAGAAGAAAACCCTCTCTTTTAAAAAAATATATTTTTGGAGGTAGAATTTTTCTTAAGAGGCAGCTATGGTCACCAATTACAAGGTAAGCTTTGGAGCTGCTCCTTTCAGCTGTTTCGTACATTACTGAAAGCAAATGGGAAGGAATTATCTGTAGGGACAGAGATCTTCTGCAACATTCACCACTTAAGTAGGCATGTATCAGTCTAATGAGGACTGCATTGTATGTGAAGAGACAATTGTTGGTACCTCTATTATTTCCCAGAACTTGACTGGTCCCATGAAAAACTAGGACTAGAATTTGCCATCACAATTTCAAACCAAAGTAGAAACAGAAACAGTAACTTGCCCAAAACTTATACTGAACTGAGATGAAGACAAATGTGGGAAATAAATCTGTGCTGTTTAGATTTAGATCTGTCCACTCCAAATAAATATACTCAAAAGTAAGATAAGAGCTATAAACATACACATATATACTTTGAAGTAAATCACATAGAAATCTGTGGGACTTCTGATTACAGATATGTAGGATATTTGACATTTTCACAATGACAATTGAGTTGTACAGTCTAGATAGAGAGGCTGAGAACTTACTCTCTAGCAAGATCTCAATTGGGGAACCACCAGGTTTGCAGAAAATTTTGAACAAGGAAGAGGGGTTTAACTCTCCATAAAGAGAGGAAAGATGTCTGCATTTGTGCAGCTGATGTAAGGGAACGTCCCCTTTGGAATGGCTGTGGGACAGGTGGGCAGAAGAGCAGGAGCTGGGAGCAGAAGCTGCTGCATGTGTCAGGCAGACAGGCGGGAGGAGGGGAGAACCAGCCCTGTCGTTGCATGAGCCAGGCAGCCATTGGTGGCAACTCTGTAGGCAGGCTGGCTGGCGAGTGGATGGCCCAGCAAGGGAGTGGGGGATGGATTTTCCCCAAGTCTCATGGGTTCCCACTTGTGTATACAAGTTTGGGATTTTTTTTAAAAGACACAGATTTATGAAGATACTTGCAAATATGATTTACCTGTTTCCTGTTGAATCTTGTGATATCTCTAAGTTTGGAATTGAAGAAGGAACACCATATTCATCTTGATACTTCTTACACGATTTATAATGCTGTCTCATACGAGAGAATCTAATCTGTAAATAAAGTTATTTCTCAGTGAAATTCTAAAAGGCAAATAAGAGGGGCCACAGTTCTGTATCTGTAGTTAAAAGACTTCAGGTAGCTTCTCTGCTTAAGACCCTGAAGAGCTGCTGCCAGCATGAGTGTTTATAATTTTTTTGATACCAGTTCTAACAGTTTGGTATTTTAAATAAATACAGTATTGAGATAGACAAACCAATGATCTGACTGGGTATAAAGTGAACTTCATATATTATTCTGGAATAAAACACTTCCATTAAACAGAAATAAACAGACAAGAAAATAGAGAAATCCAGTATCATGTCAATTAGTTTTTGTAAGTTTCTACAAAATGTATTATATTACATCACTAAAGTACATCTTAGCTAGAAAGTAGCACACAAATTGCTCTCACAGTTCTTAACTATATTTTTTTCTGAGCTCAGTGCACAGACTGAATGAAAAAACTATGGTATTATATGGCTTGACCTTCACACAACACAAAGGAGGATAACTTATACTGTAGTCAAGTCATACAAAATGTGTAATGGAAAAATAGATCTGTATATGAAAAAATGACCGCTAGACTATTTCAGCCCCAAAGCAATGGTTTTAATTTGCACAAATTCTCCCACAAGTCATGCACACAACAAAGGATCTGTAGAAAGGTATTGTTTTAATACTTACACACAATACAGTATTTCTTATGTAGAGACAGTGAAGAATTTCACATTACCCAGTTTCACCCGGTTTCAAGCTGGTAATGATCCGTTTTAAAGTGAACTGGTACAGGGCTGCCATTTCACACAGGGCTTTCCCCTTCTGGTAAAGAGCTGGATCTGAAGCGGTTTGCCATTTCAGACTGCACCGCTTTTTCCCGCTTTTCCCCCGCCGTTTTTCGCCTGTGCGGGTGATCTCCGGCTTTTTTTTTTTGAACGTTCGCTTTAGAGCGCTATAGCAGTATAACAAAACACTCCATGCATTCCAATGGGATTGATATAATGCTATTCCGTTATAGCGCTAAAACGAAAAAACGCAAATGAAAAAAAAAAAAAAGCCAGCGATCGCCTGCGCGGGCGAATAACGGCGGGGAAAAAGCGTATCGGAACTGGAAGAGGGAACTGAAGACTACTTGGAAGCGGTTGACAGGTAAAACACTTCAGTCCCAATTCCTAAACGGGACAGAAGCGTTTGTGTATGAAATGGCAAATATATTCCGGAAGGGAACCGGTTCTCAAACGGGTTCTGTCTGAAATGACAGACCAGAAACCGTTTGGGAACCGTTCCTCTTCCAGAATATATCGCCTGTCTGAAATTCCTCAGTGTTTGCTGTCCCTCAAGATCTTCATAAGGCGGCTTCCGGTTTATGGCGACACGCTGGCAGACGCACCTCCCAGGAGTGCGATCTGCGCGCTAGCGGTTAGGAGGTGGGACGATTGTTCGTTCCCCCCCCCCGAGCCTTTGTGAAAGGCTCCTAGCCATGGGGCTTTTGAAGGGTGGCCTCTTCACCAGCGCGATGCTGGGGAATTGAGGCGCTCTTCCTCCCTGACGGTCCTGCCACTATGCGTCCAAATGGAACTAGAGCCGCTGACCTGGACAAGCGTCGGAGATCGAGCGTTCAAAACGCATTTTGAGCGAGGTTGTACGACCAACAACGAACAGTGAGTCGAGTGAAAGCGAAACACCGGCAATTTAAATCCCCCCCCCCCGAGAACGATGAGAAAAGCGAGCGGGGAAGGGGCCCCTCTCATACGCATGAACTAAAAAGTGATTTAGCGGGGGGGGGGCGGAATTAAAAGCACTGAAATCTGTTTTAAGAACTTTACCAGAGCGCGGATAGGCGTTGGGTGATTTTCAGAGACTTTAGCAAGTTTTGACAAAAGTAAACAATCCATAAAAATGGCGTGGAAAAAAGTGGAGAGAGACAAACAGCCAAAAGTGAAAGCACCGGGGAGCATGAGCCCACGACCAGAAGAGACCACTGAGTTTTCTAAACTTTTGGCGGACTCTTTGCGCCCTCTACTGGATCAGATGACTAACATTAATCAGCAGCTGACAACTCTAAATCAGAACTCTGCAACTCAGCAGCTCCAACTGTCTGAAACTACAAAAAAGATGGAGCAAACAGCTGAGAAAGTAAAGGAAATAGATGCAAACTCTAAAAAAGTCAAGAAAAAGCTGCAAATGCTGGAAGCAAGCTTCGGATGAATCTTAACTTTTACAACTGCAAATGGAGAAAGCTAACCTGGTCCTCCGGTTCCAAAGGGTCCCTGAATCTAAAGATGAGAACCTAAAACAACTTTTGAGCGATGCATTAGCACCAGTTACAGATTTAAAAGCGGAATACCTTATAAGCAAAATGGATGTGGTCTATAGGGCCTATTCCATCTATATCAAGAAAAATAATCTGCCTGGCGAGATAGTAGTTATATTCTCGAAGAGACACGTGAGCAATGTTCCCTCTAAGCTGAGTTAGTGTGAGCTAGCTCACAGTTTTTTAGCCTCTAGCTCACACATTTTTGTCTTAGCTCAGAAAGGTTG